TTGTTCATACATCAACTAGTGATACAACCTGGACACATCATCAGTAATGTTACCTGTGTTTCGGGTCTTTCAAACATCATACACTCTCCTCCAGGCGACCCAGCCGGGGTTGATCTAACCCCAGCTTGTGTCCAGGTAGCGCTACCCTACCCACGGATCTCCTCTCCTTGCTCGCCACCCATTGAGCCGACACTGCTCCAGCAGATCGCTGTACTTAAGCCTCTTTCTCTCATTGGCCTCCTTGATGGGGTCTTCCCAAGGGACCGTGAGCTCCAGAAGCACAACCTGCTTCGATGTTGCGGCCACATTTTCTGGGAACTTCAGTTGTTTCCCCAAGTCTGCCATCAGCTCCCAGTCCTGTGCCAATGTGAGCAGGCCAGAGGAAGAGACCCTGGCAACAGCTGGTGGTCCTTCTCCAGCTCTGATGAAAGACATAATCTTCTTTGCTGGGCGGAGGTGCTTGCAGTGGGCTATTCCACTGCAGATGGTGTTCACTATGGCCTTCAAGACCTGGTCGTGATGCCAGCAGTAGCGCCCCTCACTCAGGCTCCTCGGACAGCAGCTAAAAATGTGCTCAAGGGTCCCTCTCTTCTGGTACAGGGCACACGCTGGTGACTCCACCTTCCCCCAACAGAACAGGTTAGACGGGCTTGGCAATACGTCATATACAGCCTGGATCAGGAATTTTATGCGCTGGGGCTCGGCTTTCCACAGTTCAGTCCACAATAAACTAATAATTTTAATGTAACCTTAACTTAATCTAACTGCTGTTTTTTTTTTAAATCAGTGTCCATCCTTTCAACTAGTTCAGTGCTGCACAAAAGATTTTGCACCCAGTTAACTTTCAGTAATATAGCTTAATATATATTTACTATGGTTTAATGTACATACAGTAGTGCATAATTATAAAGGCAATGAAAATAATACTTTTCAATATTATTTAACAAATGCTCTGCTTATCATCAAGTTAGGCAGACTGCTGTTAAGGAACTAGTTTTAACTGGGATATATCTAACAGCTGGAAGACAATGTCTCTAAGGAACTAGGCTTTTAAGGAAATCTTCCTTTGGTGCTCATTAGAAAGCTAAACACTATACTAAATGGTTGAACTGGGAATGCTTATCTTTTTCCATTAGGTGTCATGACACAAAATTTAGGTTAAGTTAAACAGATAAACTTAAAACAATGAAGAGTGCAATTGTATGACTAAAGATGAATTGATTAGCATTAGCGGTGGGCAGTAAATGTAGGTGGCAGATGAAGACAGAGCACTTAACTCTGTATCATTTCTTTCTCAGTAAAATGAATACATATTTCTGCACCAGGAAATGTTTTTTCATTTTCTCTTCTTTCCAGCCTGAACACCAAAGCAACGCAAGGCAGGTTTATTTACACTGTATAGCACATTTTAGTTGCACAACAACTTAAAGTGCTGCACATGAGAAGAAAAAGAAAAGTACTGAAAAGAAGTAGCATAAATGTAACACAATTGTTTAAAGAAGCAAAAACATGAATAATTGAAATAAAGTGATTATATCAGGAAACATCAAATGATCAATTAAAAAAAATTAAGTTGGACTGAAAACTAAACTACTAATTCTAAGACAGCACAGTCTTAGCATTTCAGGACTTACACAGAGTCTAAATTACTGAAGAATAAAACTTAAAGCTGCTTCTCACTGTTCAGTTCTGGCTCTGGTTATGCAGAGTAAATTTGAGCCTGTACCTGAGAAATCTGGGCCCTTGATACACTAACAAAAAGTTTGTAATGTATATTGGTGCCGAGCCATCCAATAATTTATGGACTAATAACAGTATTTTAGGTTTATTCTATGAGATATGGGAGTGTAAGCACTTTAGAACTGAGGTGATGTGCTCTGCTTTCTTAGTTTTAGAGATGAATTAAATGAACTAGCATGAATTTCTTTTTAAGT